TAGCCATACCCTTACTGGGATTTGTATGGCTAGCTGATGAGAGCTAAATAGCTTGAAATAGATCTATACTAGTCTCCCTTTATTTATTTATCAGCACAAATACAACAAAATATATACATATATACATATATTTATTTATTTATTTATTTCTATAAGACCAAACCTAAGAACAAACCAAATCCTCTTCTATTTTCCCACTGTTTTTCATTTTCCTTTGTATTCCTGTATTTTACATTTTGATAAAAATCTGGAAAAAGGGCTGTTATTTGTAAGAAATAAAAAAATAAATAAAAATGACTAGCAGGAATTCTAAGCCTTCCTTCTGCATTTTTTTTATACGGATGTGGTGATTTCAGAACTGCTGCCTGTGTGGCCAGAGCAGATGCCGATTTGGGAACGAACGGGGCTGTTTGCACACTCGAGCCGCAACACGAAGGAATGAATCTCTTACTTTTCGGTTTTGAAGAATATTGCACAACCGTCCACATGTTTTCGCTCATGCTCAGACATGATTTTGGCACGTGACTTTGGAGAAAAAAATCCGTCGTATCCACGCTCTTTTAATGCTGGCAGAAAGAGGGTGAAGTATTGCTCGGTTTCCACTTCCTGGAAGTGAATAGGGCAGGGTTACTGGTGCCCAAGAGAAAACTGTGCCAAAAAAAGAGCAATGACTTTTGGCTTCTACTTGTTTCTCAAAACCTTTTACGCTGGAATGCAGAGAATCTACAGAAAGGAATGTCTATGGAGATTCCCAGTCATCCCAGGTCATGGTTGCCCCAAAGGGGCTTTTTTATAAGAGGCAGCTGGACTTTCTGTTTTTGCTCTGAAGACATTTCGCTTCTCATCCAAGAAGCTTCTTCAGAGCAAAACAAGGAAGTCCAATTGCCTCTTGGGAAAAAAAAGCACATTTGGGACTACAGAAAGGACAACCTCTCGTTACTCACAGCAACGACACAAAGAACCTTTGAAGGCAGATTCACTTAATGAATTAACCACCATGGTCATAAAATAAAGTCTGGTCACGTGGTGACTCACTTAAGTTCTGGTTCCCTCTGTAGCCGAGCACTACCTGTAACAGAATCTTGCAAGTGTGAATGTGCCTCCCTCACTCCCTGTGAGACTCTCGTGTGAGATCATCTCTGAAACTTATCTGATTGATGCCTGGGTAGCTATTTTCCCTCCTGTCCTTGAATGATATTTCCAAAAACCTCAGTAGGAGGAGGAACCCAACAAATGGCCACCATGATGCGCCAAAGATGCTCACAAGTGGTTAAGATGCCAGGAGACGGTGAGTTCTAGTTCCGCCTTAGGCAAGGTAACGGCACTCTGGGAGGTCATGCTCTTACAGCCCTTGCTCAGTGACCCTTGAAGTGGAGATAAGTATCGCCCCCTACAGTTGGCAATGACCAGCGCAGGGGTCCCCAACCCCCAGGCTGCAGCCCACTACCGGACCTTGAGCCAATTGGAACCGGGCAGGCGAGTGTGGACATGCACCCCCTTCTTGCCCGGGAAGTGGGCAAGCACATACACATGTGCTCTTAGGCAAGGTGGGTAAGAAGCATCACCTCCCAGAATTTTCAGCCAGCATGTCCACACATCTTAAAAGTTTGAAAAGCATCCAAGGAGTGTCAAATTCAAGGCTCACGGGCCAGATCCAGCCCCCCGGGGTGCTTAAATCTGATCCACGGGGCTTGCCTGGAAATAGCAAAGGATAGTCTGTGGTCCTTCTAGCAGCCAAAATGGGAAGCCGAGGGGGAGGGGACCTCCATGGCGAGTTTTTTGTCTGGACAGCATCCTACAGCGCTGACAGCCAAAACCTCCATCTCACATCTCCCCCCCAATCCTCCCCAGCTGGCCCGCGGAAGAGAACTACAATGCTGATCTGGCCCTCGAAGAAATCCAGTTTGACACCCCTGATCCAGACCCACCCGAAATCAATGTATTGTAATAGTTAAGGCAATAAGAGAACAACTGAACTGAACTGAACAGAATAACGGAGTTGGAAGGGACCTTGGAGGTCTTCTAGTCCAACAGGCTTAAGCAGGAGACCCTATACCATTTCAGACAAATGGCTGAGGACACCCAGGTTCAAATCCACCTTTAATCACAGCAGTCCACTGGGGGAAGATGCCCTCCTCCTCTCTCGGTCCAACCTCCCCTCACAAAGGACTGTTGTCCCTTTCCTCCGAGAAACAATTTTAAAAACAATTTTATATCTGTATAAACAGGTGTTTGGGAGTCAAGTGCTACATTAGAATAGACCTATTTTAGCTGCAATTACCTGAAGGCTAATGATATCTGCATCCCAGTTCACAATTTCTTCCATGATTCCCTTTTTTCTATATTCCCAGTTTAAAGCCCAGGAAGGACAGTAGCCGTAGAGCTGTCGGGTAGCGTATTTATCACACAATACATTGTAGCACATGACAGTAAACGAAGCTGGAGGAAAGAAAGCACAAAAAAAAAAAAAGTATAAGGGCTCTTCTGTTAAGCACAACGATGCGTTAAGTTAGTTGGAGCAGAGAGAGAATACAGCTTGGCAATCAAAGATGGGTGAAGGAATACCTGAGGGCAGAATTTGGTCTCGCTCTTTTAACGTAATCCATGGCCTTGGAGGCAGCTGCTCTGGATGAACTGAAACAACGATAAGAGACTGAATGTTAATGAGAGTTTGCAAGCCAAATCCCTTGAAGAACTGGAATTTAATGTCATAATCATGCATGGCATAAACATGGCACCCGCGTGGCACCAAGTAGCCAGTTCTTCTTAGCAAGAGCATTCGGCATAAAATAGTGTGTTCAGAGAGCACACATATCCTTTTAGGAGGACTCCGAATATAAAATTATTCCCCTAGCAAAGCTTATATATCTTAAGTAGGAAAGATTGCTGATATCAGCGTTTAAAAAGAATTGTTACCTGCTAGATTGTCAAGCATGTAGTTCAACAATTTACGTGTCCCATCTGGGTCCTGGTAGAGGCTGAGAATATCTTGTGATAAAGGATTGCCTGGAATCAAAGCAAGATTTTTATAAGAAATGGCTTCCACAATATTCTCTGAATGAAATAATATTACTACAACAATCCTGTAACATCTACTATAAAAGGATAACATTTTCATTCCCAGGGAAAATGCTTCATAAAGACACAAGTAAACCAACAGAATAAGAGATTCGGAAGGTACTTTAGAGGTCTTCTAGTCCACCCCCTGCTAAGGCGGGAAACCCTGAACTATTTCAGACAAATGTTTGTCCACTCTCTTCTTTAAAACTTCCAGTGTTGGAGCATTCACAACTTCTGGAGGCAACTTCTGTTCCACTGATTAATTGTTCTAACTGTCAGGAAATTTCTCTTCAGTTCTAAGTTGCTTCTCTCCTTGATTAGTTTCCATCCATGGCTTTTTGTCCTGTCCTCAGGTGCTTTGGAGAATAGGTCCTCTTTGTGGCAGCCCCTCAAATATTGAAACACTGTTATAATGTCACCCCTAGTTCTTCTTTTCATCAGACTAGACAAACCCAATTCCTGAAACCGTTCTTCATATGTTTTAGCCTTCATCCCCCTAATCATCTTTGTTGTTCTTCTCTGCACTCTTTCCAGAGTTTCAACATCTTTTTTACATTGTGGTGACCAAAACTGGATGCAAGTATGGTCTTAACAAGGCATAAAGTAGTACTGAGAGGAAAGCAGGAGTTATTGTGAAATCCGTTTTGGTACACAACCAGAAGGACAGTCGGAAAATATTTTGCCATCGCCCCATTAAATGAAGAGTTTATCTCAAACTCTATTTATCTGGCTCTGTCTTCCAAAACAGAGCCTTTCTGCTTTTTGTCCTTCATGAAATTTATTTTCTTAATATTTGGCGAAGTATTTGGAACTTTTTTTTTTTTAAATTCACGGGGCTGAAACTAAAACAATATGGGCAGAAATCATCTTAACTAGATTAATGAAAAACCACGAGTTCAATGTTTTCCTATCTTTATCTGCAACTGGAGTTTTCAAAGTATAATTCAAAGGCAGCTCTGTCCTTGAAGACATTCCTCTTGGCTTAGATTCTTTTTTAGGGCTGATAAACAGGTCAAAAACTTTATCGGCACAATAAAACATGTAACTTGGAAACAAAAGCAAAGAATGCTTGTGGGCTTCAAAGAGGCATTCCATTTGCCAACAGAACTTGCTCTTTTAAGGAAAATCTACCTGGCTGATCTTGTTTCTAACAGGAGAATAACTTTACTCTTCCCTGCCTGCTCTGCTAACTCTCTCTAAATGTGATTAATCCAAGTGTTTCTGGAGTTAACCTTGATTACTGGAAACTATATGGACACAAGTTGAAGTTTGGGCAACAATATAGATTTGTAGTGGTTAGTGCAAAAATTCTATACGCAGAACAGCAGAAGTAAATCATATCGAAATAAAAGGTTCCAAACAACCAAAAAACACCTCAAGACTGATATCTAATTTGATTTTAACTGACATAATTCCCCAGATTTGGCTAGGCAGGATGGGAGATGATGTTAGAAATATAGAAAGGTTAGAAATAAAGAATCAGGCTAAGGATATGTAGTATATATACAATATACACAGGTAGTCCTTGACTTATTACAAACATCCGTTCAGCAACCGTTCAAAGTAACAATGGCACTGGTATGCATTTACGACGGGGATCACCTTTTGCCACCTTCTGGCAAACAAAGCCAGATTCATTTAACAACTCTGTTACTGATTTAACAACTGCAAGGATCCACTTAGCAACTGTGGCAGGAAAGGTCGTAAGATGGGGAAAATCAAATTAGATATCAGTCTTGAGGTGTTTTTTTGGTTGTTTGGAACCTTTTATTTCGATGGATGGAGAGTCACTTAATGACTCTCTTACTTGGCAAATGGGAATTTTGGGTTCAATTGCGGTTGTAAGTCAAGGACAACCCGTATTGCCTCCAAGAGGTTAACATAGGAGGAAAAAGGTCAGACAAAAGGGGAATAGAGTAGAATAGAACAGAACAGAACGGGACCTTGGAGGTCTTCTAGTCCAGCCCCCTGCTGAAGCAGGAGAACCTATACTATTTCAGACAAGTGACTTTCTAGTCCCTTCTTTAAAACCTCCAGTGACGAAGTGTCCACTTAAGCACACAAAAATATATTTCTTACTACCCCTTACCTTTCAGACCCAGGTTTTGTAGCTGGAAGAGCCGTCCAAGTTCATAAGGCAAAACTCGTAACAAATTGTTGTTTAAAAGCAATTCCCTAAAACCAGAGCAAATTGTTTAATAAAGACAATTTAAAAGAGGTTTTACACATCTGCATTCATTGGGATACTTTTCTAAGTAGTGAGGTGGAAAACATATCAGAGCATCTGTGTTAGTATATTCAGCCCAGGGGTGGGTTTCAACCGGTTCGCGGCGGTCCCTGCGATCCGGTTGGTCGCCGAACCCGGAAGTATGTAACTTCCGGGAACGGCGAAGGCCCCCCCCCCGCGCCTGCGCGCGCCCGCTCCTTACCCGATTTTGATGAATTCTGCGCTTCCACACATGTGCAGGACGCATACAGCGCCTGCGCGATCCTCNTAGCCAATGGGCTGCCCTTTTGTCATGTAGAACACCAAAATGGGATCCAGATTTACAAAACCAGATTCTCATTATGAGAAAATATTGAGAAGGAAGAAGGGCTGCAAGAAGGAGCAAGAATTATCTTGTGTCTGTTTTACTCATAGAAACATCTTCCAGAATTTTAGCTATAAGAGGAAGAAGTAAGCCTGCAAAAAGAGCCAAATATTCACAAAACGTATATTTATGGTGTTTTCCTGAAAATAAGACCTGGTCTTATTTTCTTTTGGGCCCCAAAATAAGCACTGGGTCTTATTTTCAGAGGATGCTTTACCCACTTACCTTAGAACTGCTGCAGCCACGCCTGCCACGTGCTGACCCCTGTCGCAGTCCTAAGGTGAGCGGGTGCAGGGTGCATGGGGCAACTCCACCCCCACTCTCACCCTAGCTTGATTTTTACGCATGCGCTTCACCCCACCTCATACAACCAAATGGTGGAACGGAGTTGGTGGGGTCTTAACTAGGGCTTATTTTGGGGGTAGGGCCTATTTTCAGGGAAACACGGGCTATGACTGAGAATCAGGAATGAATGTACCTCTCCAATGCTGCATTTCTTTTAGCAGTGACCCCTGTTTGAAGTGTCCATATTTCTTGATCAATGTTCCATGTATACCTTTAGCTACCAATCTTTGTTAATAAACCTGTAAAAATGAATTTCAAGGCCTAGGAGAAACAACTGTAAGTCACATGAGTAGGCCTTGCTTTCTCTAAATTGCACCTCCCATAATGGGAGCTTTATTATGCATGTCAGTAAACACAAAACAGAAATTTCTGTTGTATTTACCTCATGCTAAGATTCCTTGGTTTGCTCTTTTCAAAACAGCCCACAGTTTAACACCTTTTTAGGTTAGAAACAATGGTACTGAAACCCCAGTTAGACTGAATTGAACCTAGTCTTGCAGTTACACACTGCTAAAAGTTTTCAGGTTCCCATGTTGTATCAAGAACAGTGATTATTTTTCTGTAAATAGTGTACAAACAGTTAATTGAATGGTTGCATTCACTTTCTACAGTTGGCAGTTTTTTTATAGAACAGATATCTACAGTTGCTCCTTTACTGCACGTATCAATATAACTTCTGCTTTTTAGCTACTTAAATATTTCTTCTGTTTTAAATTTTATCTACTGTTTAATGTAAAATTAAAGTGAGTCAAATGCTTTATTTAAAAGATTGACCATTGACATGAACTTTGAGGATTATACTGCTGAGCTTTTAAATGCCCCAGGAGGCGTATAGAAAAGAACCTTCTCTCTATTTTTAAGTTAAGATTCTGTCAATGCCTATTACCATAAGATAAATCAAGAGATTATGCATTAAAGCTATTTGTACTCTAATGAAATGCAGTTCTAGCCATTTTCTAGTAATGAGAGCTTTCACTTCCTTGACCTCTTATTTCCAGTAATAGGGAGGGAGCTCTGGGTCCATCATATCATGTTACTATTTCATAATAAGTAAGTAAGTTCTCTTTAAATACAGCTCATCAAGTTAGAGAAGACAGGCTGCCTTTGGCTCTTAATGCTGGCAGTCGCCTCACAAGCCTTCTACACTTCCTCTCCGCGCTGACCCAGAGAACCGCACACCCAGGGTTCCTCGGACTGTGCCAGCGCATCAGTTCAAATAGGATTGTGCTTTTCAGTAAGCAGGGCTTAAGGTGACTGAAGCAGTTCAGACTGCCATCCTGAAAGAAGGGAAGGGCAGAGAAAACAAGTTGCTAGATTCTTTTACTTTTGGTTTAGGGCAGTGCTTCCCAAAACTGGGTATGTGGCCCAAAATTTGGTAAGGTGGCTTTTCTTTGGTTAATGATGTGTGAACTCATCATCCAATTACAACAGGGGTATTTAAGTTGAGTTGTTTTACCTACATTGGGTATAAAGGACTTTCCGATAAGTGGTTTTGCGGAACAAAAGGCAAAGCTAGGGAAGCATAAAAGGGGCCTAAAAATAAGGCTGAACCAAATGTGTTCTCACCTAAGTATATTGTTTCCTCATGGTTAAAGTTTCAGGATATTGATTTCCTCTCAACTGTTGCAGAGAGGAAAAAAATTAAGCATAACACAGACTGGAGCTTCTCTGGTTCCTGGGATTTAGGAAGCAGCAATGCCTTTTCTGATGCCTTTTGTAATGCTAATTGCCTGCCCTTTGACTGTTATGTTTTCTCTTAGAGATCCAGCTCCGCCGTAGTAGATAGTGACTTTAGTACAGGGGCGTCACGTGACGTATCAGGACTCCCCCCCCCTTCACTGAACTGGGTATGGGTGTGGCCAGCATGTGACTCATCCAGCCCATAGGCTGGGAGTTTGTCAGCCCTGCTTTAGCACATGGCCCCAGTGAGGTTAATTCCGAAAGAAGCAACATTATCTGAATAGGCACCGATTTAACCTAATTTGACCTCATTGGCATGGTCAAATGGTGAAACCTTAATTGCTATACATAGGTCATCGCTATACACGACTTAGAGCCACAATTGGGAACAAACCTTCCATCACAAAACGAGGTGGTGGTTGATTGAGTCATATCCAATTGTAAAACTTTTTTTTCGTTGTTGCTGCGGTTGATAAGCGAATCACCGTATCTATTAAGTGAGTCATCTGTTAAGTGAGTCATTGTTAAGCGAAGCTGGCTTCCCCCATTGACTTTGCTTGTTGGCAGTTGATTTTTTAAAAAAAATAAGTGGCGCTGAAAATAAAATAAGTAAATAAATGACTCTGAAAATAAGTGCCAATTTTAAATGAATGGCTTGAATTTGTGATAGTTGCAGTAGTTACTGGCATAGTGTAATCACCATTTGCGACTTTCTCAGTCAACTGCCAAGCAGCTGGATTTTGATCATGTGATCGTAGGAACACTGGAATGATCATAGTGTGAGGACCGGTTGTAAGTCACTTTTTTCAGTGCCATTGTAACGTCAAAAGGTCACTAAATTGAAAACAGTGATATGCAAATATAAATGGTTGGTAAATCTTTTTCATATCGGGATATGTGATTATATAAAGGAATACTGTTATTAAACAGACAATCAAGAATGTAAGGGAATTAGGTTTATTGGAAAAAATATTAATTGTAATTGAAT